CGGCTAAAAACACATGGCTATACAGACAAAAAAAAACCTACACCATACAATACAAATATATTTCAGATACCAGCTGTTGACTGTTGATTCACCCTTACTCAATGCAACCTACAACCTACTACCGTAACCTAACCTAACAGTAGATATTGGAAAAACAATTTATAAAAACTATCACTGTGTCTTGAATCAGGATGTGTGATGAAGTTTTTTGCGGTTTGACAATCAAACAAAGCAAATACTGTTAATTTTAAAATGTCGATAGTGTTTTAAAAAAGTATTTAAATAGCGAAAATTGTAATAAAAATAATTAGGATTAAACGAAAGATAAACGGAAGAAGTTAAGACGAAAACAATTGCTGGTTGATAAAATAATTTTCATAAAAAAGGCATAAAATTGTTGATGTGACATTGCCGCCTAAAGTATATTTTATTTAGTAGAAATACGAAATAGGTATTGATAAAAGAACTGTGAAGGCAATAATTTACTTAAAATTAGCCTATAATTATTGCATACAATTAGTTGGAATCATGTTTTTGAGAAAATTCAATTTTAAGATTAAACCTGCTCCCAAATGATTAATTTTAATACTTTGCAATTATTTTTGCTACCAGATGCTTGTTGTTTGAATTTTTATGCTACTTAGTTAAATCTCAGCCAGACACCAGAATTTTAGGTGATAGCTATTTATGTCCACTCCACCTTTACCCAAATGACGGTACTAGTTATCATAAAATTTAAATTATAACTTAATATTATATTAATGTAGCGAGTGAGGATGTTATAGAAAATTGGCAAATAAAATTTAACCAGCACGACGATAATAAGGATAGTTTGATCTCTAAGGGTTTTTTAGAAACTATTATTCGAAGTCAATAGGTATCCATACTAGATATATTTAATTGTTGTTAAATCGACACAGCAATGTTCTGCGTTCATATCGTTATACAATCAGTTGACATAAATATTTTCTGGATATGACCAAATTGTATTTAAAAAAATGTAATAAATTGTAACCGCTAATGACGATTTTTAATTTGTTTGCATTTTTCCATAATTTTGAATTTCCTTTGCTTTTTTTTTATGTATTAAATTAAAATAAAGAGAGCTTTTTAATGATTTACTGTTACAACTTTTAGTAAGTTACATATAAAAAAATGTAGGTACTGCATTTCACAATTTGAATTTATTTAAAAAGAAAATCAAGCGTATTAGTTTGCATTTAAGTTTAAAAAGTCCACCTTTTTTAGACCCCCCAGAAAAAGTACTAAACGTTTTCAGCCGTTATTTGGCTACATTCGTTCACTTTGACTACTTTTTACTCATCTATGATGAAAACAAAATAATATATTATCGTTGTAAAACATACACCTTACAATAATATACAAGTACCTTCAAATTTGCTACTAAAACCTGTAATTCTTGTAGTTTTGGTAATTGGAGACACTTCAGTTTGTGTAAAACAATGTTTTCAAAAAAAAAAAAATAAGCGTATTATCAATAATGTATCACCCTGTATGTATATATATATATATATATTTGCGTTTGTGAGATTCCGTTGATCAGTGGACTTATTGGTCCGTCTTGACCTAAAATGAGGCCCCTAATTTTTTTAACATGGTTATGTCATTGGGCCGGGGGTCAATTGGACAATCTGCGCGAACGCTAAACGTTACCGAGTATATATATAGATATCGCGTTTTCAATTGTAATTTTGTGTTAATTGAGTTCGGCTAACGTGTGGGAACAACTGACGGTGGATTTTTATTCAAATAATTGGTGATCAATTGCATTTTTCATATTTAATTAGATTAAATTGTTCAAACAAGGGGTATTATCAACACATTTTTAATGAACTCCGTGGTATAAAGAATGGAATAACAAAAAATACATTAGGAATTTTTACCAGATTACCCAATCAATAAAAAAATTGAATAATTTTTGGAAACTCTTATTGGAATTCATTATATGTGATTAAAAATTACAGTCTGGCCAATAATATGATATCTCTAATTTAATGTTGATACATTAAACTAGAGTCATTTGAATGACTCTAAAAGAATTTTCACTTCATCCGTGCGTACTGTTTTTTTTTTTTATTAAATTATTGTTTACTGAATTTTTGCCTAAGCGTTTACTCGAAAACATAGTTCTTTTACTTTAGAAAAACACTAGTGTGATTCAATGTGCGTTTAAATTTTTCAATGTTTGCATAAATGAAATACAGTGCTCGTTTGTGTTAAAAAAATTGTACAAAGCCAAAAGACCGTGTCTATTTTTTAGATACCCACGTTAAACTTGCATTTTAATAACGGTGTACGATAATATACTTATGGTCTTTAGAATTTCAAAGCCAACATGACTTGTTGACGATTTTTTTAAAGTTACGATAAGCCATCTATGTGAATCATTTTTTATTTTTTACCATACAATGATATTTCAAGGTCATTGTGATTTTTCCGCCCTCGGATAACAGTATTTAGGGAGGGGTGATTTTGGAATCTCTTATAGCAACCTGTATATTAATTTAATTATGCTTGTTAAGCTATTTTTTTGGTAAAAGAGAATTCGATTGAACTTAGAAGTTTATAACGTCAATCAAAAGAACCGTAGTATTTTGGAATATTTTAAAAAAAATGAGATTTCTACATTAACCGTAAAGCATTTGAAAGACTTTAAATCAATTATTTAGATAAATTGGGTTTTATAATTTTTATATAAATTTCCACTGTTGAATTAATAGGTTTTGGTTAAACGTCGGTTTGTCGTTAGCTTCGTTTTTAATAATTGTTTAAAACTAATTTTTTTTCTCGTTTTAATTTACTAAAATATAAAAAAAATATGTACATCGTATAATATATTTTTTTTTAATTCCATCAAAATCTTAAAATTGTACAGCCATTGAAGGAAAAAATAGGACAGTTGTTTAGTATTAGTTTTATTTATTCCGTTTTGGAGGGACCCCATTACCTAAAATAGAACATCTATACGCAAACATTAGCTGTATTCCCGAATTTGTTTTCCGTTTAATATGTTATGGATACATATGAGTTCTAACTACTGACAAATTTTCAACTTAAAATTCCTAAAATTACAGCTAAAAAACTAAAAAAACAAAAAAAACTGGACCTCCCTTCTAGGGGGGTGGGAAACGGGTTTAATTTAAATTTAATACAACTGACGAGTGCGGGCATACCAAATAAATATTCCTTATAAATTTTAACTCGATCCGACAATTTTTCTCGAAATTATAGCCAGTAAAAGTTCTAACTTAAAAACTGAAATTTGTTATTTATAGAGTTGCTACTCGAAGGAATTGGTCCAGTATTAAAAAATTTACAGGGTATACAGATAAAAAAAAAAGCCCACATCAGATTTTTGAGGATTAAGGATTTTTAGATTTAACGATTGCTCGAATAGAATTTCGTCTGAGACTTTATCAGTTTTATTTATATAATCATATTATTATTAAATCACTAATCCTATTTATTGTATATTTCAGAACTATGTTTTTCAATTTCATCTGCTTGAATAATATATTGACATACAGTTATGTGATCTGGAATTAAGTTGGTGGAAACAAAGGTAATTTTATTTTGTCTTCTTATATATATAAGATATTAGATAATGAATTAGAGATCAAAATAGAGATACTGGATTAGAAATGGTCTAATTGGCTGCGGGAGGTGAGAAGAGGGCAGGTTAGAGATAAGAATTAAGAGATGGTCCAGCTGGATTCTGGAGGTGCGGTAAAAGATTAGAGATAAAACGATATTAGAAAGTGCCAAAAAGTACCAGGGTTATACTTGTTAAGACATATCCATGTTCCTATAAACTTCCGTGCAGCTGAGGTCACGGCCACTTTTTTTTCCACCTCCTCCTAGTACAAAATATCACAATTAATTTTTGTTAGGACTTTCAACTGTACATTTTTTTGTAAATAACCTTTAAATTAGTTGTGTTAACTACTTCAATGGTCGTTTTATTTGTTTATTTCCGTGTATAGTACAAGCTAGCGGAAAAAAAAATTTGGACATAAAACAATAAGAGTATATTATTATACTTCGAACGTTTTAGGAACTACATTTACTACGTTAAATGACAATTTTTATATGTAAACATAGTATTTTTTTTACATGTAAACTCAGTTGTATTTTTGGGGCAAGACACATAGTCACGTTATGAGTTGTATACACTGTAAACGAAAACAGTTTATTCACTTTCTCAAACCGACTAGGTATTATGGCGCTCTTTCATATTAAGTACTTTGTATGGCTTTTTGCTTTTTACACTCTAATTGAGTTCTCTCATTCCGGCCAGCCGGAAGACGATTTTGTCGAATGGGCTAAAACTATGGATCGAGGAGGTTATAGCACCCCTATTTCGTCACAATCTAATATGCGTTCAACTCTAGATGGTTACAGGAAACAATTTTACAAAGAACTTTTTTGCAACTACGTGATAACTGCTACCGTCCATTTGCATTTAACAAAGCAATTTTTGGTGAACGTGAATTATCGAAAATTGCTTTGTTAAATGCAAATGGACGGTAGCAGTTATCACGTAGTTGCAATAAAGTTCTTTGTAAAATTGTTTCCTGTAACCATCTAGAGTTGAACGCATATTAGATTGTGACGAAATAGGGGCGCTATAACCTCCTCGATCCATAGTTTTAGCCCATTCGACAAAATCGTCTTCCGGCTGGCCGGAATGAGAGAGCTCAATTAGAGTGTAAAAAGCAAAAAGCCATACCTTTGTAAGAATATCTTACATTCACAAACGAAGTCAATCAGATATTAACAGTTTTGTTGAACGATGGGCACGAAGATAGCCGACATCCCATCACAGATGTTATGTGGATATTACTCGTGTACTGCGAACTGGAACAAACATTTTTTTCGCCAACCTCTTTCGAGTCCCTTTCACAAGCAACCAAAAATCACATATTGAAAACTCACGACGTCGCAGTTCAACTTGCGCCAGGCAATTCAAAAGCTGAAAGGTGGGTACCTTGATCGCACTGTTGTCAATGGGTATGTATATTATTTGCTGATATCATTGACACACATCGGTTGTAACGTTGCTACGTCGATCAACGTAGATGGTAAAAACAACACTTGCACTCTGAAAAATGTGCTAGGTATCGTTTCTAAACATGGCTTTCCTGGTCCTGAAGAGCTTAAGTGTTCAATAACCCTACCTTCAGTAAGAGAGAGTCTAATTGGCGCCGACGTGTTAGTCAAGTACGTAGAACACTTGACAAGAACGGTCCCAGCGATTAGTTTTAAAGCATTTAATTCGTTCGCTGTGGTCGAGTCTTCTGAGAGTTATAACCGCTTAAAAAAATTGGAAACTGCCAATGAAGATAAGATAAAAATATAGATATTACAATAATCTTTGATATGTGAATAAAAATATATTTTTGTGTTAAAGCTCCGATTGTATTGGACATTGGAATAAAAAAAAAAACTATAATAGAATAAGTTTGGGTTTTTACATTGTTTACAAACATTTTATGGGAATTAGATAATTAGAAAAATGTGTGTTTCTTTAAGTTGTTTATTTGTACAACATAATATTATAATGTTAATTCACACCATATTATATATTAGTATTAAATAAATGGAAATAGATTTTTGATTATTAATAAACAATATTATACAAAATATATGATACTATGTAGCTACTGCTAAATTGTTTAGTTATTAAACCGTAATATATTTGTTTTAACTAAATGAAATAAATCATTATTCTTGATTAGTTCTCTCATCTGTAAATGTATTGTGTCGTTATAATTGAGCCTTCGATTATGGTTACGTATACTACTAAAGTGGTTGTTGAAACTTTTATTTCCACGTTAAACGGTTAATTTACAGAGGATAACACACTCAATGTCTTTTTAAATAAAGGCAATTTTAAAGGCAAAAAAACACAGGCTTAGAACTTCTGATAGTTGAAGAATCTCAAAAAAACTGTAAATTAATTTTCATTTTCTTCCTATTTAATATTAAACAGATAATTTTCAATAGTGCTATATGGTTTAAAACAATTTTGTTATTGTAGTCTAGTTTAACCTACAGGTCTGTTTTTTAGGTGAGTCAGTATTTTGTTTTTTTATGGCTCCGGTTACATAAGACTAAAATCGAAGACGGTCTTTAGTTTGTACTTATGTAGCGGTTTTATTATTGCAAAAACACAAATAATGTAGGAAATGATACGGTTACACATACAGCGGGACTTGGTTTGCGGTTAAGCAAATAGAAACTGCGCTGTACAATAACAAGTGAATATTACCTATAGTATTTTTTGTGGAAAACAGCTTATTCTACTTCGAACAGTACGTTTTAATAGTTGCTATCAAAAAACTAAGTTGGGAGAAGGTAAAAACAAAACAAAAATATGAAAAATTTAGATCACATTGGTAAAAAAATATGAAAAAAAAACATTTTAATTTCTTATTAAACCCTATGAGATATTGAGTGGTTCACGATAAGTAGATCATCCTGTATTATGTTTGTGTAGTTCAAATATTTATTGAATAAGTTTCATTTGTGTCATCACGTAACACACAAGAACAATAGAGTAAAATAAATAATGTATGTTATTGGCTTTGATCGAGAAGAACAATGTTACTTATCGGAAAAATTGAGTTGAAAAGTTAAACATGTACATTTTTTTTATTATACATGATTTTATATTCTAAAGTCAATGTTCTAAACTAATTTTAAGTAGTACCACTTTTAATCACTAGTAGGTATGATAATAATATTATGATTACAACATTGGTTGTGACAATGTTACCGCCGGAATGCGTACATAGGTACTTTAGAGAACCCATAAATTAAAACCAAATCGATATTAATTCTACTGCAATACCAATATTGCAGCTTAAAATTAGGACCTCTTTATAATTTATACGCGCAAAACGGATAATTCGAATTAAAATCCAATAAAACATTCACCAGAACACAAACCGAATGGACTAACGGCATTCGAGTCGCCAACGAATACAATAACCAATAGCTTTTTATAGGTCAATACGTTTTCATAGCTTTACAAACCCTCCAAAAACGCATTATGTGTACTTACATAAAAAAAAACATTCATTTGAAATGAAATAGCATGCAATTGTTATTTGGCCGAGTCAACAAGTTTTTCGCGCGCGACTTTTATATTTTGAAAAATCATACTTACATTGTAATAGCAGTTTACAACAGGTATATTATATGCTTTTTAAATGGAGTGTCGCATTAGTTATTAAAATAAAAAAAAAATAATATTATTATAAAATATGCAATAACGGTTACCGCAGCACAATCATGTTGGATACACTGCTATGTTCTTTTTTATTGTAAAACTAGTCGATAGCTGTTTACCAAGTGCATGTGGCCGTAATAGGATCTCTTAATGAAAAAACCGTGTCGGCGAAGTTCGGCCAACATATTTAGAAATAAAAGAACGTGCTATTTGATGTCAGCATATAGATATATTATTAGAGGGTTTTGCGGTAGTAATCGATTCTCTCCCATCAATTCCCGACACTGCTGAGAGTTCGGGATCTTCCCGTGGGACTAGTTTTAGTTAGTATAAATCAAGAGATTCTAAATGGGCACCGGCCACTGCGGTCAGCCGTAGTCCAATGTATAGAAGTGAAAACTCCTCGGGTCTGTGTACAGTGGAAAATTTCTGAGAGAAAAATGTGTATATGTATTTTCATTTCTTCTATCCCGTGGAATATCACTCGCGTGTTCCTGTGGGGATGAAAATATAATTCAGGATTGGCCATCATTGGTCAATGATCGGAGCGGAGCTTTGTAAAAATATAATCCATTTGATAGATGTAAAAGTGAAAAAAAAAAAACAAAACTTGCCACAAATTTTATTATTTTCCTCGATACATATTATACTGTACCTACATTGCTTTCATAACGTCATGAGGATTGTTATTTGTAAACTTTAAAGATATGTTTTATTTATTTTTACTTTTATCCGGGTTAAAATTGATTTTAAAAGTTTTAGTATTTATTGATTTTTAAAACGTTCACGTTTAAGTGCTGGATATTATATATATTTTATTTTGTATTTTTTAATTTTCAAATGTTACTTGTTAGCTTGCGTTTAAAATTATATAATATTATAAATGATTAAAGAAATTATCTGGTTTTTTCCACGCATTTTCAAAATTAAATAATCTTAACGATTTGGCGTTCACGTTATTTATGTTTATTGGTCTAGAAACATAAAATTGACAAAATCAGTTCGGAATACAGAAACGAAAACACTTTTTTTATATGTCTGCAAATTCTATACCAATATGTTACGTGCTCAGAGTCGAGCAAAATTTTTATAAGACAGCAAAAAAATACATAATTTTTGTTTCGCGAATAACATTATTTGTAGCTCAATAAATAAAATATATTAATTAGGTTATTTATTATTATTAGATAAAACGTTATTTCAGAATATTTCAAAATCGTTTAAAAGAAATTTCATAAATAATGTATAAAAATATCATATAAAATTATATTTTGCTTAGCCATCATAAAATATACCGGTGCTTTTATTTTATCTTAGATAATTACAAAATTGTATCTACGTTTGTTATTTAGAATTTCAAACGAATTACAGCTAATAAATAAAAAGCAAGGCAAAAGAAATTTTGGAGGCGGGCAGGTTACATCGCTTCGGGGATTATTAAAACTGAACTATGAAATATAAATGGTTTTATTGATTATAAATGTGTTTATAACTGTATTATTTGATATATTGAGTTAGAGGTTTGTCACTTTCGTCGAGGTTTCACTGTTACTTGGTGTATATAGATTGGGATTAGTTGAATTATTTGGTGTTTCGACGAATTTTATTAAGGAACAACGCACGAGTTGGACATTTAGCCCATTTATTATTTAAGCTTTTTATAAACACAGACTTTATCAATATCCCTTCTCTTTTTCGATGAGACAAAACTTTTCTCTCGTGTCTCGTTCACGACCGACCGTAAGGTTATTCGATTAGCCACTAACTGTTTCTTAGGAGGATATATTACGCTGTGGGCCTAACCCTCAACACTGACAATTGTAAAGTCATGATCTTTTCTAGATCTCGTGAACTGAATCGATCACAATTGTTATTATCATCTTAACGAATCACACCATTGAAGAGAGTTTTTGTGATAATAATGTGATACTTAACATGCGTCTGTCGTGGATGTTTTGTATCTCTGTTCGGTCGAGAGCAGTGGTCAGGGTAGTGTGATATTTGGGCTTAAATTTTTTTGTTTTTCTAATTTTATACTAATAACGTTGTCGGTATTTGTAATGTTATCAATTTTATAATCATTTTTTTGTGTTCATTTTTTATTTTATTTGATGAAAAAATTTTACTGTCACAATTTTGCTTGTAATATTTCGACTAAACGAATAATGTGAATTGTATTAAATTCTATGAAAATATATACATATAATATATTATGTAAATCGGCATAATAGTTCTTTACTTCGGATACTATTACTACTATTACTTTGTCTCGGTGACGTATGGGGTTGGTGGCTTTAAAATAATTGATAAAAAAAGTTTCGAACAGTATCACTACACGTTCAAGGTCTGCAAAGTTCAGGAGTAGTATATATATATATTTATTTATATTATTGCTCGTTCATTACTTTGTCGCGACTCCCGAAGACCCGGGTTATAAAGTTTTTTTGTCACTTTTATTGTCAAAGTAGGAAGCTCTTTTTGTATGCGCAACTTGGAAACGCTTTGGGTTGGGTTATCGGTTTCGAAAGATATATTATATATATATATATATATATGTTTATGTGTGTTATTATGTCCTTTTTGGACCTTTTCGTTTTGTCACGTATTTTGATGTTTTATATTCCACTTCGCGTCTTAAATATCATTTTTGCCAATATGTAATATCGCAACTTTTTTTTTTTAGGGTCAAGCCAAATACTATTGTTATGTATACTATGTATATATTTTTTTTTACACAAAATTCATGGCGGATTTAGCGAAAAGCAAAATTCGATTTTCATACCGCACGTAATATACATGGATTTATTGATCGGACATTAGCTGTCAAAAAATACATATATATATATA